TTAGCTTAAAGGCTTATCTCTTTTAATGCTAAGAAGTGCTTCCAGTGTGTTCTCACTGAGGGCCTGATCAGAAGCAGCTGCTTCCACAGCACTTCGTGTGTGCATAAGCCCTTAGTGAGAGAGCATTTTCTGTTTGGATGATCAACATGCACATTTTTTATATATCCAGCCTTTGTGCCTGAGAAGATAAAAAGAATCTTCTCCCTGCATACTTATTTAAATGCCCAAACTCTTTTGTTTAAATGGTATGTGCCACAGGAACACTTATCTGCCGCAACACTCCCAATAAGAAGCCAGCCACTGTTTATTCTTGCTATCTCTTCACTTAAAAGGTATCATATCTTTCCTATTCCTTCTAAGCTGTCCAAGTGTTTTCTTTACATTTTTAGACTTTGATGCACCTTTACCATGTAAACTTTCAACTTCCTGACACCATATTAAAACTGATAGCCTCTGAAGAGAATGTTCTCTTGCTTCTACTTTGTGTGTTAGTGGCAGGTTTTGCTGTTTGTTTTTTAATTTTCCTCCTTTGTTAACGTATCTGTGTGCTGGGAGTGTGCATCTATTGTGCTTTGCAATAATAGATTTCTTTGATAAACTTACTCTGTATTTTTTTCTTGGGTTTTTGTATTTTCTAAGATAACCTTTCACAACTCTTTCTCTGGGACTGCTAAATCGTGTGGGCCTGATGTAAGTGCAGACTGCCAGCTGCTGGTAGGCTGAGTAGGAAGAGGAATTACCCTGCCTTTGCCTTGCACTTGCTGCTCGTGCCCCAGTCCACTGCTGCCAGCCCCGTCCAGAGAGAGGTACCAGGATGGATAGCTCAGTCTGACCATTTTAATTTTCTCATGTAACTTTAAATTCCTCGTATTTGTTAACATTTGGGCGTATGTGGAAACAGTTGCACGGTGTCTCAAGGGGCTGATTCCACCAGGATCTAAGAAATGCCTGCACATCCATGTCCTCTGTGACATTGTCCCTAAGGCTCTGGATGCAGCAGTGCTGGCAGCCAGAGGCTCAGATCAGCCTCAGAAAGCAGTAATTCTTCCCAGGGCAGCCTCAGACATTATGATCTTCCTTTCTTGCAAAGTCACCACACTTTTTGTAATTCCTCTGGTCCTCATGGTGCAGAGGAAGAGTCTTAGCAGGGCTCAGGATTGCCCCACATGGGGCACTGCAGTTACTTTGTCAGCAAAAAGACTCTTTTCCTTTTTCTCTCTTATTTCACTTGCCTACTCTCTTAGGTTCAGGGATCACATCTGTTAGTATTTTGGGACCTAATGTCGCACAAAAGGAGAGGTAGAAAGAGCCTTTCTTTCTGAAACGACTTTACTAGTCCAGAAGGACTAGTGGTTTATACTGCCACTATCTGTCCACCATACCTGCTGCAGCCCTTTTCTGCAAACACACACAAACAGTTCATGCAAATTTTCCCGCAGCTACAAACAGTTTACAGAAGGAAGTGAGAGATATTAAGGACTTTATTGTATTGCTCTTTCTGTCCTGGAGAGTTTGATTAGGCATGAATCAGTTAAAAAACATTTTTAAATTTATCGTGTTTTTTTCTAGCTATGTTTTAAGTAGGTATAAATGTCTTCTAACAAATCTTTGCATGATTCTGCCTCCATTCCTCATCCTCTGAACCCCATTTTAAGCCACGTCAACACTTCCCGACTGAACAGCCCTTTCCAGATGGTGCAGTTAGGCAGGTCTAGAGCCCCAGGCTCCCCTACATCCTCCTAGGGATCCTTGGCAGCCCCTGGCTGCAGCAGCTCATGCCATGCACATTGTTCTTAAAACACCTCATGGCCATTGTGTCTCATTGTAAAATAGAGAATTAAATCCAAAATGAGCTTAGACTCATATCTTCAAGCATATTCATATTTTTCAATTATATCAAAACCAGAGAGGCAACGTGCTCCTCCTGGGGTCACTGAGGTTAGGGAGACGGAAATGTTATAACAGGTCTCCATCATCTTGAATCTCACTGCCTTTGTTAGCAGGAACTGAAGGTCCACAACCTCCAACACCCTGCTGAGAGGGGCAGGCAAAATGCCTTGGTCAGAGAAAGTAACTGAACAATTTGGCCTTGGGAAATGCAGAGGGTTTTAATGTTGTGCACAACAGTTAGAGTACTTAGGTTAGTTTTGTTTTTTATCTGTCAGAGTCCAAATCTACATCTGCTTCCCAGCAAAACGTCTTATCTGCCACGTAAGAGGCTGCCTTGGGCAAGAATGTTTTTGCTCTTCCCTCCACACCTGCCAGGTGTGTTTTTTCCCACCAGAAAAAAAAACCCCAAACACTTTATTATTCATTAGAGAGCGTAGGCTGGAAAGGAACGCCCAATTCTCCATAGATTAGGGATCATAGGGAAGGGAAAACCTAGAAGTCTAATTTCTACTTGAAAGAAAAAAGAGTTTTTTGGCATCTTTGCTAATGATTTCCTTGGGTGTTTGCCCTGTAAGCTCCATGTCTTGATGTCTAAGAAAGCTGAAGAAGTGCCTGCTGACATCTGTCTGCCGTTCTGTGAAGACACAGGTACTTTTCCTAGAGAAGAACAAGGTTCCCATTCCCCTTATGGCAGAACAGGTGGAAAGGTCAGCCCTTGCATATTTCTGTGATGTAAGTTTAGGACAGAATTTGGTAAGGCACAGAAGCTGTATGCCCAGTTACAAATATGTGGACAAGGACAAGAACAAGAATCTCACTTCTGACCATTCCTCAGAAATGTGATCACTCCTGTAACAAAGGCACTGAAAACTGCACAGCATTCAGAAATAAGGGCCTGACCTGCCTAAAATGAGCTGTGGAGAGGGGACTGCACAGTATTCAGCACTGTTCTCCAAGTTTTGAGGATGGACAGGCTCCTTTCTGGTGTGCTTTTATTATCACATATTCTACCTTTATCATGTACCACATTTAATTTCTTAACTTCCCTTCTTCACTTCCAAGCATTGTTTGTTCCAATCCCCTTAGGTTTGCTATTTGCAAGTGTATACAGAAGTTTAACACCCTGGCTTTCAGAAGCCAGCTGTGCCTTTGCTTTTTTTAAACACCACCTCTGTCAAATAGGAACTACCCCTACTTAATGCCAGGCACTCCTCAGTAGAGAGACCACATGTGTAAAAGGCATGAGAATAGAGCAGCAAACCCCAGACTAATGCTGAGCAAGAAAAAACCCTTATGCTTTGTGAGCCCTTCTCGCTGGTCAAACCCCTGCTTAGCTACTTGTCAGCTTTTGCTAGCTCTTATTAGCAAGCAGGCTCCTTCAGTGCTCTCCCATTCCTCTCCATCCTACCACTCCTCTGCAGCTTTCTCTTCATGCTTTTCTTTCTGTTTAGTTTCTGATACTCAGACGTTTTCCTGCAAGGATGTATCTATTCTATCTCAAGATAACTGGCTCTACCCTACTTGTAGGAATCCCCCATCCCATATTTTGTCTAAACTTTTATACATTCCTCCAAAGAGCATTCATTGGCCAATTTCTAAAGTCCTTATCTAACTGGTTGTCTTGTTGGATTAGGACAAAGTGTATGAAATACATAAATGCTTGATGCTGTACTAAGAAAGATGACTCTTTTCAAAATTCTGAACTATTTCCTAGTGTTTCATAAATTCAGGTAAGGAGTAATTTACTTTTTAAAAATGCGCTTTATAAATGCTCTCTCTAGTGCAGCAGTTTGCAGTTTATAAGTTTGTATTAATGGCTCTTCTTGTTTTCTCAAAGTACACCTTAAGTTAAATCTAAGTTAATCACAGAAAAAGTAAAAAAAAAATTAAAACTTTTCTGGAGCACAACTAATTTAATATTTTAGCAGCTGACAGCTGTGGTGATTACTCTTGGATATCTAAAGTCTGCTGGAATCTAATTACTGTGATCTATGAACCAAGTAATTAAGGTAAAAACTCCCACATTTTCTTATACCTCATTAATGTATTTCCTTTGAAAATTGCTAGCTAATGATGGTACATTAAGAGTTTATCCATTAAATGACAATGAATAATTAACATCTTTGTCCTGGGACATTAAAGGACAGAATGGTGTTTAAGTGCTCAATGTGACAATAATTATTTCTTAATTTACAGTGCAAATATCATGCAAGTTTGGGAAAAAAAGGACAAATCAAACCGGGAAAATGGAATGCAAAGAAAGAATTTTCTTTTCATAGAATTGCAGAAGGGTTTGGATTGGAAGGGACCTTAAAGGTCATCTAGTTCCAAGCCCACTGCTTTTGGCAAAGACATCTTTCGTTCATTTCCTTCTTTCCCAAGAAACTTCAAGCCCTGTCTGCATGCAGGACCCCTGACCCACCTCCTCACAACCTTGTTTTCAAGTTTTAACTGATTCCAAATGTGTGTTATCACCCCGAAGGTAAGTGTGGGATCAATATTTGGCTCTGAGTGTTCCAGGCACTGGGAGTACAAACATTACTTCCTCAGTAATCAAATCCAACATGTGACACACTGCAACAAGTGGATTAGACACGGGGGAATGGAAAAGCAACCTGTGGTTATATAGGTTATGTTATTTTATCACATAAATTGATATATAGATCAAAGTTTTCTTGAAGTGAAGTGAATTAAATACAAGAAATCTCTGCCATCATATAAAACCTGGTACAGAGTAAATTCTTTCAGGACTGGCTCTTCTCTAACATGTGAGACATTTACTTGCTGCAAAGCAGCACAGCAAGGGAATCTGTTTGCACTCAAGTATTTAATCTGAAAAGCCTGAAAACTTCCAGTTTGATTGCAGCTGCTCTGCGAAATAACAGCTTTGGTGGGAAACAGTCAAGGCATTGCTTTTGGACCAGAACGTCAGAGAAAAGTTTCTCATGATCGTGTTAGACCACCAAGGACCTGAGTAATTACATATCTAGTGGGATCCCTGCCTAGAGGGAAAAAATCCCCAGTCTGAAACAGAATATATTTTGCCTGTTTTTACTTTTGTCTCCAATTATGATAGATTATTTATAAAGTCACAAAAAGTAGTAAAGTAATATTTTTCCATGAGGCTTTTTATTTATAAGGAATTGAGTTAAACAAACTAGACAATTAGGAAAATTAAGGCTAAAAGTATTGATTCTATAGGAGAGAGAGACACACATGGATACTCAGGAAATCCTACTGTAAGAAATTACCAAGGCCAGATTACCAGACACATGTCTGCTAAAAGATTAAATCAATCCACATTGGAATCGCTCTTTCTCAAGGAACAGGGAACTTTCAAATCATCTCCTTCCAAATAATTCTAAATTCCTTCTAGGTCAAGTAGTTCGAGCTTCTGGCTCGAAGCCAAGCTTTCAATCAGTTCTCGTCCCTTTTTTCTTCCTTCTTCGGTGGACATAGCCTTTTGCCAGAGCTTCAGCAGCAATCCTCCTTGGAAAGAAACACAACATTGTCAAATTAGCATGGAGCGCATGCAGCTCGCGGCACACCAGGGACCGAGTGCGCGTCTGGCGACAAAGCGCGCTCGGCGCTCCTGGGGACAGTGAAATGAGACAAAGCTGGAGCTGGCCGATGGGCTGATAATTGCCTACAAATGTGCAGGGAGACGCAGACCACTCATGCAGCTCGGGATCCTTTGTATCTACAGACAGTGGGGCTTGCTCCCTGGTCACCAGTGGTGCGGGTGGAAATGATTGAAGATTTATGGGAAGGTCTTTGCTCCGGCGCACAGCTTCGTGGTTTGTGGAGCAGCAGCCTGAGCGTTGTAATCAAGCCTGTCTTCCTTTCCACTCTAAACAGTGTTCACTTTCTGCCAGCTAAGACCTCAAGCTAAAGAAGCAAATGATCCTAATGCTTTTGTCCAAGTGATAAGCACGGGCTCTCTATGAAGTGTGGTTTGGCCAACCCAGCCTAGCGCTAGCACCAGTTTGCAGGACAGTCTCTGCTTACTCCTCACTCCACAATCTTTAGAGTGAATAGAGGGGAAAGCTGAGGGCAAAAAACTCCAGTGAAAACTAAACAGAATTTATTCTCCTCCTGTTCTGCCTTTGGGTATCAGTGGGGGGCAGAGCATAAAAAGTTGATCTGACAGTCCATGAATAGAAAAGCTTTAGAAGCAGCACAACACTCTCTCAATACAGTTCCTGCTGGACTAGCAGGGGCAACTAAACAAAAATTCAGGGCAATCAAATTCTGGATGAAGAAATCAAGTCTCACTCTGGGTTGGACAGGATCCTATCCTAGGAGGTAATAAGACCTTCTATCTACTATTGAAGTTTGCAGTTCCAGTGAAGAACCCTGTATCTCACATGATGTATTTAAAAGCATCTACAAAAACAGTGTTTTGTTACCTGTGTTTTGTAGCACTAAGGTAGGGTCTTTCAGGCCCCTGCTGTGGCTGTGAATTTAGGCACAATCAAATTTATTTTAAAGCTCCTTTTTCTGATCTGCAAATCAGCTGAATTAGCTGGTATTTAATTCTCAGCTGAATTCAAAGCTCATCCCTTAGAGAAAAGTCAGGGAATTCTCTCCCCTGCAAAGCAAGGGATTTCAGCTATGGAATTCATTATGGCTGCACCTGGATGAAACTTAATCTCTCTCTTTCCTTCTATTTACAGTGTTCAACATCCATACATCCTTTGCTCTCTCCCTGCAGAGCTGTCCTCACCTGATGTGCTGCCCTGGTGCTCTCCTCCCTCCTTCCTCTCCTTCTGGTCATGCTTCTCCTTGCTGTGCTCCTCTCCCTTCCTGAAGGTATGTCAAGAAACCCTGAACTGTGTCATAGACTGCCAGGCAGGAGATAGATCCGTTCACCCATATTCAAATTCTAAAGAATAATACTATGTGAAAATGTGAGAGAAGCACTCTGTGATGGGAGTATGTTCTTTTGTAGCACGGAAGAGCTTTACTTCACATCATTTTCAGCTTTAAATACAAATGGTGAGAGAATTTTCAGTGAAATGTACAGATGGAAAAAGAGCATCACAAATGCCGTAGCTAGGCACACTAATTTTTCAGTATTTTTACATTCTATTTTCATTTAAAGATTCAAAATAACTTTGCTTCATAAAGGTCAAATAAAAATAGCCGACCCAGCAGTATCTATGAAAGAAGTGAATCCTCAGGAGCGTGTAATTCTGTGTTGCACCACTGGATGGTGATGCAGGACTTATTTTGGTGAAAATGATGAAGCCAGCATTGTCTAAGGATACAGTTTTGCTGTACAGATCTCTGTTAAATCAAAGACTGAGATAAAACCAAAATTGAAACCAGAACACTTGTGGACGCAAAAACTGTTGCTCATGATAATTTGCCTTTTTTTTTTTTTTTTTTTTAATTCAACTGGTCTAATAATTTAATTTACAGCTTTAATGGTTTTGGATTCAAAACACAAAAACAGTCTCTCTTTTTAAAGTGCCCGTGAAAACCGGGAAAGGAAAGAGTAAGATCATCTGCTCCCAAAATGCTTTTTTCACACTGAAATCCCTCGTATTGTCATTGTTATCCCACCAGCATTTGCTGTCTGGTGTGTTGTTTGCTTATGGTTGTATTTTTAACCGTTTTACTGTTAAGTAACACTCTAAGATGCGTTTATGCTGCTTTATATCAAACATTCACTGTATTCATATGTAGAGAGAACAAGTTATTAAATATCTATGGACAACAGACATCTGTAAGTCAGGCTCATACCTGTTAATTTATTTGCTCTGTGAAGAGCTCTCATTGCCACCAGGACCTTATTTTGCTCTGGACTGAAGTCACTAATGAATGGGATGACATCTCCTTCAACAAGCATCCTCTGGGGCAGGAAAGCCTGGAAGTTGTTTGTGGTTGGGAAGTCTGTAGAGAAGTGTGTGGCAGCAATGAAATCTACAGCACTAGCCCAGTCTTCACCAAAATTTGCTTCTGGACCAGAGAGATATTTTAAGCTGAAAGAGAAGAAAATAAAAAATGTGGCAGATAACTGAACTCTGCTGTAGAACACACTAGTTGATCATTTTTCCCAAATGTTTTTGTTCAGTATGAAATCCTGAGTGGCCTCAGTGCCACAGGGACTTAAAGCCTCCTTAAGTGCTTTATACCTAATTTCTCCTTGCAACCCTGCCTCTGCCCAGATTAAACACAGCTCCTGAATCAGACCTTGGCTCCCAGAGGGGAACCAGCATCTCATTTTAAGCCCAGAGCCTGACTGGTCATCATGATTTGGGCAGCCGTCTCTCAGTGGTCACCCCACACTCTGAGAGAGTGGAAGGAAGAGTAGAGCCTAAAGAGTAGATGCCTAAGGTACAAAAGTTCGTGCAGACTTTGTTAGGATAGCATTCTTCCAAAGAGGCATGGAGGTGGAAAGATCCTCCATGGGCACCGATCTATTTCCCTTACCTGTCCTGGAATTTGGGCAGTGCGTAGGCAATGGAGGTGGTGTGTGCCTTCCACATGAGGCCAAGGGCATCATCCAGTTTGAAGGAGGAGAAGCTGGCAGAGCTCAGAGCTTTGTGTTCTGTAGATAACAGATACTGCAACAATGGGGAGCAAAAAGGGCAGAGAATGAGAGGGGAGGTTTAAACCCGATTATTGTTTTTTATATAAGCACATACTTCACAAAATAATAAGTTTGACAGCTAAAGGAAATTGCATTTGAATAGTTAATGGTAGTTGCTGTTCTTCGACCTCAACATTGCAAGGGTTTTATCCACATAATTTCAGTATTTGGTTACAAAAATTCAGTGGACTTTTATATCTGAGTGCCATGGAAGATTCAGTACTGAAATAGGCGACTCCTTGAAAACTTGTCTATACTCTTTTGACCAAAACTTTCTGAAGATTTTTAGAAAAATAAGAAAATCACCCTTGCTATCATTATGGTTATTTGAGAAGTCAGTATTTTACAATAACTTCTGAAATGTAATGCATGGGAAAAATGATCTTATGAAGACAAATCCACTCTTACTCTTAAACCATCTACCTTCACTCACAAGACAGACTTACAGTTTAACATTTCTGATCATTATCAATCATTTGACTACCAATATAAATGCTGACGGCAATAGTCTAGCTATAAAAAATAGCTATTAAATCTATGGAGTAAGAAATATTGTCAGCTTTGGGATTAGAGAACAGCTGAGTGAGGAGGAAGGAGAATTGCATAAAACTTGCATAAAAAGGTGTCCTTCTGAATGATGCTTCAGCATTTTCAAGTTTTTAGATGTTTAGAGAAATAAATGAACCTTATAAAACCACACAAAGGCCACTTCTTAAGGGCAGTGTTCCATCTCACAGGCTTATTTTGCATTGCTAACATAAGCAGTATTGGAAGAATACAAATATATTTGAATACAAAACAATGTCTTGTAACAGAGGTCAAAATACAGAACTGTCTCAAAGGAAGAAAAAATTCCATAACTTGTAAAAATCATGTCCTACTTATCTCTGACTTACTATCTGTTATACTTTCCATCTATTCTGCTTGTTGTTTTTGTATGAAGCTGCTATAGAAAACAAACTAAGCTCTCTGAATCTTAAAAATTACAGTAACAATAGTTTTTAAAGCTAATATTTTGGTATAATTTTTAAAAATCTTTTTTTAAAAATTATTTACTTCAAAAAAGGCCTTCCAGTCATCCATGAGCTTGGGCATGCGAGACCAGCAGTCTTTAACACTGTAACAGAAATCATCTTTTTGCTCCTCTGGTGGCAATATTTCTATCTCATATGGCAGCTCCCCAAAGAGGCCAGCCTCCACTGCCCCCAGAAAGGGTATAATAGCCAGATAGTAATTCATACCTGTAACAATAATTAAAAGTTAGGAGGTGTTAATCACAAGTGAATGAAAAATTCCCACATATAAAAATGAACTCTCTCCCACACTAAATGCAACTGTTTCAAATTTCCACGAATACGACTCTGTTCAGCAGTGGAATATATGTGCTGAAATGTAATAATGATGGCACTCATATTGATTGAGATATGATTTGTAATGTTCATTTATGCATTTTCCTTTAAGAGCCTTGTATGAGCTTACACTATGCTTTACTTTGAAGGAAAGGAAAAAAATCTAATGGAAAAATGTTAGATATTTGTAGGTTGTTATGGACAGAACAAGAAAAGTCTCTCAAATATTAATTGCGAACTAGGTATAGAAAGACTTAGGGGAATTCCACAAGTATTGTTGCCATTAAAAACCCCTCTTCTATGTATCCTAGACCTATGAGAAAGGAAAATGTGATATTTTACTATAGAAATAAATAATAATTTTGCTTCTAAAAAATATTTTACTCACTGAAAATTGCTTGTCTATTACCTCAGTTTATCTGTTTAGATTTGTTTTTTGATGATGGCTTTCTTTGGTCTGATCCATAAGTTGGAGCAGTCAGATCCAGGATGTAGGAAACTGAGGCTCAGTTCTCACTGGGGACAAGATTTGACACCATAGGGCTATTTGATATTACTCTCTTGAAAGGAGGATTTAAAGTTCTCCTCTTAATTGTGTCCCTTTTGTAGAAATGAAGTTAAATAGTTTTGAGTGAAGAAAAGCCTGGGGATCAGTTGTTCTCCCTCTTGAGTGGGTTCCTCTGAGCTGTTATGCTGAGAAGTCATTTGCTCATACTTGGTCTCAGGGCCATGGACTACACTGATATTTTGCACAAAATCCCAGCAGTGAGGACCAAAATCATCAAAACCTGAACACCTATCATGTATCCATGTCCTCCTAATGGGAAGCCATTGCTCCCCCTTATGGGAGAAGGTCACAAAACAAAGTTCACAAAGAAGCAATGTGTGTGTTTTGGCTATAGTTCAGCAGGGACTGGGTCTGCACACCTCAGGAGCAAGAATACTGAGGGAACTTGGTGTATTGCTCTAAGTATGAGATTAAAAAAAGGATGGAGCAGCATGAAGGTGCTGTGGCCATGGTCTGTCGAAATCGATGCAGATATGAAACAAGGGATGGAGCAACACAGCAGTGTAGTGGTTATGCTCCACTAAAAACATGCAGCTAGTGGGAACTAAGCCAAAGGAATGAACCAGATGGTAACCAGAAGCTGTCCTTTGCTTCATTAGCTCAAAAATACAACTTGCTTTTCATATTCTACATATACTAATGACTCAAGCAGCACATCAACCTGAAATGTTACCAACTGTAATTTTACCTTTTCTCTTCCCTCAAAGGAAGTAATGCAAATATAGCTAAAGTGGGAAGGGAGGTCAGAGAAGGCTCCTTCATAACTTCTGGGATCCGTCAACAGGCTGAACCTGTCTTCTTCCCTATAGGGATGCATATTGGGTAAGAACCTCATTCTGTGCAAGCTAAATTATTCTCTCTAGCTAGCTTTAATTGGTGATTAGAATTGGTCAATATATTGCTTCAAATTCATTTTTGCAATCAGTTACTATCGACAGCAATCTCTGAACCTTAACTTGCCACAGTGTTTGGCTATCAGTGTGTTTGTTAATAAAGTGTGTTATTCAGACTGTTTAGTGTGAGTCCTTCAGGGGCACTAAGGGAGGAGTGGCCAACAGCAGATAACATACTTGACAAAACTGGAAATATTTACCAACTCCAAGTGGGAACATTGTTGGTCTGTGACCATAAATAGTTTGGTCAAACCATGCCCCAGTAGAGTGGACTGTTCAGTGGGGTCCCCATAATGGGGCACTGACAGGCTGGTCAGGCACAATGGCTTTGACGTCCCTGGGGGTGCTGATTGAACAAATATAAAGGGTTATATATAAAGAGAAATCCTTTGTCTCATGTGACATACCTCCTGAATGTGAACCTGGTTGGGAGTTCAGGAAGAAATATATGTCCAGTCAGAAGAGCAAAGGAAAACTCTCAAGTGATGAGAAGACTCATTTCACTGAGACTCATTGCTGAACTGGCTCTTGCTTCTTGTACAGTTTTCATGAGAAGTGTTGAAACCTTGATTTCACATCACAAAGTGCTTATATACTTTTAAGTGTTCTTGCCTATATTATATATTTGGACCTGTCTGGGTGACTTAGAGGGCAGAAAACAATGCAGGATAGGACTATACTGAATATTATTCTAGGCAAAAAGACCCAATGTTCTTAAGCAGCTAGTATCCCATACACCTGAGATATATTAAATGTGAGTTTCTGGTTTAAACTCATTCCTGGTTTCATGTGACTACTTGTGCCAGAGACGGCTGCTCTGAAGGCCAGCTGAAAGCATTCATATCCTCAGAACACTAAGAGACATTTCCATACAGTCTCAAATACTCTTTGCATGTTCTTGCTGCAATAGGATAAATCAAAGCTGAGTATATACATTTTCTGGAGTCAACAAAATGGGTATCATGCAAACATGCAATATTTAGAAGTAGATGAAAAGCAGCAATTGAAACACCAAGAAGGCAATGGTGGTGGTTTCTATTCCAGGAAGGTCCTCTGCTTGCAAAGGGCTATGCAGTGACTCTTGTTACTTGACACTGTGTGGGACACCATTCCACAGAGCATCTAGTACTATCCAAACACAGAGAGGGAAACCTAAAGCTGGAGTGAGTATCAGTCAGTTTTACCCTAGATTTACATTTTAAATTTTATCTATGCTTATGTCTTTGTTCACTTGAAGATATACACATTTAACTGCTGATTCACAGCCAGAAATTTAATCCAAACGGCCACTGAAGGAAAAATATTCCTGTGGCAGAGAAGGGACAGAGCCACTTGCTCAAACCTGCTGACAGGTCTAGGGAAAAGGGGAACTTAGAACAGGACATCAGAGAAGCTGAGGGAGCAAGGGATATTATGCTATGGGGAAAAGAACCAAGGATGGTATAAGAACCACAAAAATTCCTGCTTGACATTTTCTCACAAAGTTTTAGTTTGAAGTGCAAGCATCTAAATTGAAGAAATCTGTTCTAGACTAATTGCAAACTGCAAATATCTACAAATATCTACAAATACACATGCCTGTCATGGTGTTTACCACATATTTTCACATAAATATTTGCAGTTTTAAGGCTGCAAACTTGTTTGGTTTTTTTTCTCCTTCCTCAAGTAAGTATTCAAAACCAATTAACTTTCATTTACCCACTCACACTTAGGTGTCTTGCTGCAAGTTTGTAATTTACATAGTATACGTGTTTGAGAATTACATAGTATTGAAATTATAATGTAGTAGAGAAGTCCAAGGGGAAGAAATATTTTGAGATGGCCTTCTAGGACACTAATTTATTTTGGAGAAGAACAGTGTGACAGTATGTACTTACAGGACCACCAGCTTCTTACAGATTGGCACATGAGTTCTCCGTTTTCATAGCCACAGGAAGTCGCACCAGAATGATCTGCTAACCTACCTGAATGAATCAAATGAAATAATACAACAAATACTTCTCAAACTTTTCACACAAGAAATCCCACTGAGATTAAAAAATATAAGGGAATAAAGCATGCAGACTTTTGGTTAGAGAAGCAAAACAATTACTGTTGCTTTGCTCCATAAACTACTGTTCCTAGAGTGGTTGAGTTTCTCAGTGCATAGTAATTTGATTGTGTTTTACAGTTTGAGTTATCCCTCACTGTAAATGTATTCTGTGAATTTATTGAACTGTTTGAAATCGTGACATGGCAGTGTTTTTACTGAGATATAAACATACATTCACATACAGACATGAACACATGCATATCATTTCTAATAGATGTAGGGCTGCTAGTTCAGGAGAGCTGCTTAACGAGCAAAACAGCACAAACTAAATGTGCTAGTAATTGCCTCATCTAATTGGGTTGTGTGATATAGAATTACTTCCAGTTTAATCATGCAGACAAAATGGCCTTACTGTGAAGCAAAGCATGCAAACATTGTTGTAACTGATTAGCAAAGTTTGCAAGCATCTAGCTGTAGAAAACATGCAAGACTTTTCACAATTATTCGTGACAGAATATTTTACTTTAAGCACGTGGCATGAAGAAATAGCATAAGCCCTGAAAGAATACCATATGTGTACATTAAGTGTTGTCATGCAGAGAGTCAGAAAGTCTGCTTTAAGTGCATGACATGCTATTATTGTGGCCTTGTGCAATGACTTGACCTATTCCAGAAGCTCCCAAAATCTGCCCTGCAGTGCACTTGCTCTCTGACAAGACAGCTGAATAATGGCAGTGTCATTTCTGTCAGATTAGAACTAAACCTCATTACCAAACCAAATTTTCTGATACTTTTACTCAAGAAGAAGAGACGATCATGAACAATGTGCATACAAATTATCCTAATTATTCTCCCTAGCTGACTGGGCAGAGCTTGTGCTTTGGGGCATGCTAGCTATTCAAACCTGTATCTTTCAGTTGCCAAGCACTGAGAATATGAACTTGCAATGATGAGGTTGCAATGGGTTGCAGTTCAACCCATTTTTTAAGGGTTATTATATTTTTTAATATTTACAGAAAGATTCGATTTTTCAAGATTTTACTTCAACAGAGACTGTTAAAAAACAGGCAGCAATAGATCACTGGTGTGCAAAGGGGATGAATGGGAAGGATAAAGGCTAAGAAGAAAAGGAAGACAAAAATGTTGTGAAATAATTGTACATGAGGTTTACCAAATATTGTTAGCCTTGGTGTTTCGGGAAAATGAAGATTTCCCAGGCAGTATCAGTGATAATTATAAGATATGTAGAAATCGGAGCTGGAAGCATTAACTGCACTTATAGGTCTCCACACCATTTGTGCTGTCTCTGCTCCCTCCTATTCCCTGTGCTTAACATGACTTATTTCAGCCTTCAGATCTACCCTAGATAATCTGTATTGACAGTGCCTCCCAGCTGTGTTATTGGTAGTTATGTGCAACCTCATCAGCAAGATTTCTCCACTATTTTTTATGGAAATGTTGTTATTGAAAGTGCTAAATGTAGTTATTCTTATCTTGCTGATGAAGAACTTCTAGCACATCCTCCACTTAGCTGTAGACTTCTTTTGTACTTGTTATCACTAAATTCTCCTTCAGGTGTTTGTTTACCAGATTTGCAGTTCCCTTGTCTTGTAAAGTATCATTTAAAACTTTTCATTCTAAGCTTTGCTTTTACAAAAGGAGTAAATGCATTTTTGAACTTTGAAAAAAACCAAACACTCATAGCATGAAAGAAAATATTAGATTAGCCTTACACAATCTACCTTTCATTCACATAACCTGTGCTTTATCCCTTTTTCTATCTAGTTCCGTGTCATTAAATATTCTTTCCTCTGTACTTATTCTAATGTCTTGTTTACTGCTGATATAAGACAAATAAATATATGTGTCCTTATCTCCTTTTTTCTTCCTAAATACAGACACATCTTTTCCTGCTCTTCAGACATACAATACCATGTGAATCTTTCTTAAAGTTCTTGATCCTGGATTTGTATTTCTGGATGTGAAGTAGGGGTAGAGACTATCCTATTTCCTCAGTTAGTGTAGGTAGGACTCTCAGTTTAGCTGCACCTCCCAAGTGACAATTTCTGCTTCCACAATCTCATTCCTAATAGCCACGCTGTCTCAAGATCTTCATCTCTGCTGTAAATTTAGGCAAATTACTGATTTCATTTTATGTCCCTGAGTGGATTATCACAAATCTTTGTACCACTCTTATTAAGTAACAGCTTCACTTGTTCTTTATGGTTCATAGAGAACCATATCCATAAAAATATTCTCAGTAACATAACTTTCAGTACCAGACATAAATGTTTGTTCCACAAATTGTGTAATATTTTCAAAGTTCTGTTGTCTTGCACCATGAACTCAAATCCTGTTTTTGTTTGCCCAAGCTTATTATGTTGATGTACAAATGCTTCAGTCATTCCTCACTGTTCTATTCCACAGCCTATCTGGATTAGGTTTAGCCATTTGCTAACCTCACTACTGTATGCACCAGAATTACAGTCATTCTTTGTCCCTTATCCATTTATCCTTCAACTTCTCACATTTTTTCCTACTGTAAAACTACTTTCAGCTATTTGATATTTCTCCTCTTTGTATTTTTTTAACCTTCTGGTCATGTAAATTTAAAAATATATCTCCTTTTTCTAAGTGTCAGTCCTATGACTCTTTAGCAGGTGACAGTACATCTTTACCTGTCTATGCGACCAAGGGCAAATCTTCTCCTCACAAACTATGTCCCTCGCCTCTACTTGGAAATTGTCCCTGCAACAAGGCACATCGTTACTTTGTGGATGAGGCCATACTCCACAACTCCTGCTTCCCAGAAGGTCACCACTCAACTGTACCTGCTGCACCCAGTCATCTTTGCCTCTGCCACACATTGGATCAATTCTCCTGCTGTACCAGCCATCCTTTTTATCTGTTCTTCTTTTGGTATACAGAAAGAAGGGAAAGAGGAAAAAACTTGCCTAAACTCCAACCAAATTCTTTTTGTTGCTCTCTGTTTGCCATCTAGTTTCCTGCTTGGATTTTGCTTACTGTCTTTGTTTCCACATTTTGACTTAGGAGTAAATTTTCCATTAGGTGTGGCTAAATGCTGGCAGCCTTCCTTCACCACCTGCTGCAGGATGTCTATCTTCACTTAAACCTAAAGTGTCACCCAAACTACCACCACATGTAATTACGGGTTACATCCAATAAAGAAAACAACAGGCAGATAGGTGCATTTGTTTACCCCTAGTTACCACCAGGCACAAGATTCTGAAAACCTCTGTTGACTCTTATTTCCTTCTTCCCCCCTTTTCAGGTTGCTAGAACAAAGCAAGTCAAGTCTGGCTTTGAGTGGAAAGCTGCACAGACTGCTGTGTATGAAGCAGTCTTCGTATGAGACAATGGGTTCTCTGATAAAGCCCCTGATAAGATACTGCAGCCTTAGACTTAAGGGACCTTTCACACGTGCTCCAGTGTCTGCTCCCATGGCAGAGACAACAAGCAAACCAGAGTGACTGCACTAAACAACCAACTTTTAGGGGATAAACCCTTAGAATCTGGACATAATTTAAAACAAAACAAAACCAAACCAAACAAGCAAACTAAAAAACCCCCAATAAACAGAAAAAAACTTTGATTTTTGTAAAAAACATATTTTGAAGATAAGGAGGCTACTTCTAAATTGATCATGAAGAATAGATGGAAATAAATTCTCAGAGGGAGATGTGGACTTTCAAACATCTGTCTTAGAAATTAAACTCAAACTACCTCTAGAAGCTTGAAATATTAAGAAAAAAGCCTATTAGTTAGCAATTTAAGAACAACACTGTAGAATGCGTGCCCTGAAATCTTTCTACATAAACTGAAGCAACCAGGAGTGCCTTTCCAAAGATTTTTAGTTAGCCGAAATATTGCCCATTTGTGCTACAAATCTGGATTATGACCTCTTCTTATAATGAATTTTAATAGCTATTGCTCACTAAGGTAAGGGTATTCACTCAGCATTTCTTTTTCAAATTGGCAGTTCTGTCAAAGTTTACAACATCTGAAGCTATACTGGGCTTGTGAGGCAGAAACCTTGGAAAAGAAGCCTCTAAGCAGGTCTGGTAAGCATTTTGTTAATCCAGCATCTTAAGGAAATAATTCATACCTGTACGAAATTGCCACCCATGCTGCAGTGGTAATCCCCAGAGAATATTGCCACTGTTTTGGGATCCAAAGGCACTAAAATATTTGGCTGAAGCATTTAGTAAGCTCTTATACACTCCCAGTCGATCTTGATAGTTCCAAGCATTGATGACAATTTTGCTGTCCTTTATCGGGAAATCCAGCAGGTTTTCAGGGGCCAGGTCCCACAGAGGGGGATAGACATCTTCTCCAGTGGCATCATTTCCACTCCATGCCACGGCTGTCACAGGGCTCAGGGTAACAGTCACTACAAGAAGAGCACGTATGCCAAAGAGGGGCCACATGATGAAGGTTTGTGACCCAGGTGATTGTGGCCCCAGGGCTTTTATCAGGAAAGGTGAGGGCTGGGCAAAAAGGCTGACTCAGAGGCACGAGCCTTTGTCTCCCTTCCCTCTTCCCAGCCATGACCCTGACATGTATTTGCCAGACTAGCAACAGTGAGCAATGCTCTGTCCTCTCTGTGGGATCTAGGGAGCACCAGCAGACATTTAAGAGGAATCAATATAGTTAGAAAATGTTCAAATCCGTGCTGTCCACGACATATGCTCATGCTTGCAAGTGGTTGAGGTGTTAGAATACTGACTGTACAGTTGCTCTATCAAACTTTCTGTGTCCGTGTTTCCTTCCACTGTCAGCTTCCCTTTCTCAGCCCAATTCCTTTGGGTAAAGAAGGAACAGCAGTGGCAGAGACCTCACCTCAACACACACAGCCTATGGCTCAGGTATTCTGAGGAGGGCTCCAGGCACTGACAAAAAAGCAGCTACGGGTGCTGCCATTGTCAGCTTTGTCTTTTGGCCTTGGGACAACTGCCTGCAGCCTTCAGTTCATAACAGTGCTGGAAGCAGCCAGATCTGCCTGTCGTCAGGCCACATAGCACCTGGTAAGCTGTGCTTTTGGTACTGGTCATCATAATAAAGTTCTAAGATCTCCTATTAAACCTCCATGATCCTGTAGACTCCAAAGGGAGCACAAAGGCCATGCCTCCAGTAATAAAATTGGTGTCCAAGTTATACTCCAACAAAAGTGAAACTGTCCAGCTGCCTTCATCTCACCTACTTTTAGGAATTCTAGGACTTTATAATCTTCAGCTGCTTTTTCTCAGATAAGCAACGGTTGCAAAAGAACACTCAGCAAACAAACACGTGGTTTGTTATCTTTGCAGCCTTTTATATGCATGAGAAAAATTGCAAATGTTGCTTTTCTTTGAAGTAATTCTATGAGTTTCGGTTGGGCTTTGTGTCCCTAAGGTACCTTAAACCTGCGGGTGGGAGCAAGTCAAAACTGGCTGCAATCTTCTGATAGTAAATTCAATGCATCATTTAATTTCAAATTTTTTCCATTTACTCTATTTATTAAGGAGATTTTCTAATAAATAGCAGAATTTTTCAATGATCACTTATATTTTTTGTCTGTTACTACAAGAGAAATCCAAAAGATTTTGAAATACAGTGTTCAATAAAGATTAACAGCAGATCATGCTGCCTTGAAGAAGTTTTAAAAAATCAAGTTGTTCTTTCATTAATTTCTGTGGATGGGATTTATGTAACCCAAATGTGGGCATTTTAATATTAACCTGGCTATATATATTCCCTTGATAACCAAATCAGAGAATCAGGCATATCTAGAATGTAACTCATTAAAGCACACCACTGAGAGATGTATTGTTCCTGACTAACTGTAGAGGGAGTAGAAATTACAAGTTTACCTTTAGACATAGAAAAAATACTTTTAGATTAAATAAAAACAATATTCTTTTTACTACTTTTCTGAAATAATTTCTGATTTATAATCTGAAATAATAATTTCAGAAATGTTTTGAAAGGTATTTTTTTTTTATTGAAATAAGGCATTCTATTGAATAATCCTGAGGACAAATGCCAAGAACTGTGCTGATTTTATATATATATTAGGCTGTAATTAAGTCAATGGGCAGTAAGTCTCACCTAAAAAGGAAGGATGATGAAAGGCATCAGCTAAGGCACAAGATATATGGAGGAAACCTGTGATTCTATGAAATAAAAAGCACAAAGCTCATAATTGCATTAAGGCAGAAATATTGTTTAGGAATATGAAGGAGTGAGCAAAATGTGTTGGATATTTTTTTGCTTTTTTACTGCCACTGAAAGAAATATTCAAACTGGGAAGCTAAACTCTCTCTGTTTTTCTTTAGTCAAAAGGGAGAGTTTGAATTCTTCTAATGAAAGATACCAGACATTTGTATTACATAAGCGATTTTGCTTAAGGTACGTAAGGCAAAGAGAGGTGAACAAACACTTTTTTTTTTTTTTTTTTTTGTAGAGATACCATATATTTACATCCTTGTGGTAGATTACCTGGTAGTGAACTACTGGTTCCATGGTTGTGTGGAACTTTATCGTGCATGAAAAACTGTTCTCCTGCTCTGGCATCTAGAAAAGCAAACCTTACTAACATTGACCTAGGCAGGTATGAAAATATTAATCACTAGTGTAAATGCAAAAATACACTTTCTCAAAAGACTTAAAACACAGAATTTAGATATATTAATGACATAATGCTTGCTTGATATCAATTTTTGAGCTATTTGATAGAAAAGAAATTGTGTTATATACTAAATGGGAAATAATGAACAAGAATACATCTACTTAGACAAACTGCTGAGTCCCTTCACTTTTAGAAGTTTCAGCCTCTTGCCTTATTATGGTAATAAAAGGACTTCCATAACTCAATTAATCTTTAAAGAGTCAATAGTATTTTTTTATTAATATAATAAAACATTCTTCCTGAAAAATATTATAATTTAGTTTATAGATCTTACTTCATTTTTGCACTTATCTGTGTGTGCAGACAAGTTGCTGAAGTTTCTTTAAGACTTTAAGGACAACAGTTTTCCTTGGAGAAATATCTGAGCTGGTGTTTCCAGTTTGGAATCCAGTCCAGTCAGTTTGGCTGTGCTGTGTTGGGAGAGGGGAGGGTACAAGTGATGTCAATGGGACATGACAACATCGGCGTTGGTGTTGAGTCATAACACCCCTCCAGGGATGTCAGCATTTTAAGCAAGGAGGAGATTAAGGAAGACTATTAGTAATGGCAACACCACTCTTCATCACTTTATTATCAAGTACCCCACCAGTTACTCAGTAAGAATGTGTTCCTAGAGACATTGAAGCAGAATCACGTGCTGGAAAAGACTGTAGCATAAGATAGGAGGTAATTTCAGGTCTAATATGTAGTTATCAAGTTTCAAGAGGAAATGCTGGAGTTTTCAAGCAAGCTGCAGATTTTGCTTCAAGATAAGTGCAGAAAAGCTAATAAGCATAATTTAGATTAGTTGAGGTGACCACAAGAAGAAATGGCAGCCCTAACCCCCCAAACCATAAGGTTCCTTAGTCCTGACTGGATACACTGAGGAAGGAGCTGGAAAGCCAGTAAGAAAAGGACATCAGGATTCCCAGTGGAATTAATTCAGAGCTGACACAGAGTTTTGCAGGTGAGAAACCTTCAGGTAGATTGGGGATGTCATTATCCTTCAGCCACATAAAATAGCACTGAAAGGAAGGGTTCGCCCACTTCATTTTAGGGTAACAGTCCTAAGAGGGAGAATAATGAGTTTTCATTGAGATAGGATATTGGTATGAGCCTCCTTATCACAATGCACCTATTTTCATGACCTGACACTTCCACCAGTAATTATTGGTGCTCCTTGACTGTGGTCTGTTTCAGGAAAAAACAACCACAACCACATCTAAGAGTATTCTTCATGTATTTCACTGAATAATTTTAAAGCAGTGAATATAGTTAGGCTTCTTACTCTGTTGTTATTGTCTGCAGCTATTGTCTTGAACAGACTTCCTATTTCCTTTTGTCACAAGCCTCTAGTATTTGTCAGGGAGGATCTCTCTGGCTTCAGTATCCTCCAGCAAACCCCCTTAACATGGCTATAAAAGGGATATAAATTGCTACTGGTGTTATTGTGAGTAAAGGTCATCAGCCAAACCCTGTGGTCACGAGTGGACCCAACCACTAATGCAGCATGACAAGTTGTGGTAGGAGCATCGGGCATCTGAGGGAAAATTATATTGTGTGTGCAGTGGATCTAGCAGGAGGTGCTGCATCATCATATCCTGGCTCCTTCCTACATCCTTGAAGCTAACATTTCTCCTCCTTTGGTAATCATCATTCTCGTGTTGCTTATTAATCCCATTCTCCCCTCTGCAAAAGCCTTCCTGTGCTCCCTGCTGATCTTGCCTCACCAAAAAGTGTAACCTGTGCTGAAGATCCTGACAATTCAGAATATCAATTGTGATTAATCAGCACACAGAGATATACCAGATTCATATCTGTGGTGGGATTTTGCCATTTGCAGTTTTTCTTTCCCAGACAAAGAAGCATTCTTTCCATGAGGCTGGCAGGGTGGAAGTCTGTCTGGACAAATGGCTACAAAGGCAAATCCAAAATTCCCAGAGCTCCAGGTCATAGTAGTAAAAGAAGATTAATTACTACCAAGGTAAAAATACAGACTGAGGATCAAGCTGCACACAAGATGTGTAATGGGTACCTGGTGGTGTCCTAGGTGTACTTTCCAGATCACAGTGCTCCAGGGGACTCAAGACCATATTCAAATTTCCTGACCAGGTTTTCTTGTAGGGCCAATGTTAAGATGTGTATCTATAAAAAAATAAATAAATCTATTTTTGTGTATATATATATATATATATAAATATATATATACACATACACACAAAAGCAACCAGCCAATAAAAAAGAACATTTATCAGACCCAAACCAGGAAAATTTGAATTAATCTATAATTTTCATTTCCCTAATGGTATTATGGAGGTATATTTCTCTTAGAGGTTAGTTCAGATTACACCATAATCCTCACTGCTTTTTTATCTTCATCTTGAAGGTGAAGCTGATCATGGAGTCAGATATCTGTAGAATTTAGCACCTACAGCATGGTTTTCAGCATCACCTCTTCAACACCTACCATAAAATAGTTGAGCCTTATTTTCACAGTGTGATGTAATTAATTCCATCGAGTCAAACTATACAAAAGCTCCACTGACTGAAACACATACTTAAAAGTTGATATAGTCAAAATAGAGCAATATTCCTGAGAGCATCTGAGTTATAAACACCTGTTTAATGGAGGAAGATGATAGTAAATTTTTAATATAATATGCCTATTTTTTCCTAGGAATTGTTGGCAAATAAGCCCTAAGACTGCTTATGAAGCCAAGGAAGTCTTTTGGCTGTTTGTTTGTATATCATCAGGGAAAGAGTAAACTGCAGCAAAATTTACTAGAATCACGTTGTGAATTTGGTTTATTTTTCA